TCTGGATATTAGGGCTCTATCTGAAGTGTGAGGGGTAAAAATTTGTTCCCAGGATGTAGGCTCTCTATTTACCTCTCTTATTGTTTCTCTTGCTGAGAAAAAACTTTTTAGTTTAAGTAAGTCCCATTTGTTTATAAATCTCAAATTTATTTCTTCCGCCTATTCAACTGCTGATTTTTTTATTTCATTTTTTTTTTCAAATCACTTAATACTCTTTTGTGTCCTAGAATCATGTTTGTATTGTTTCAATTTCAGTATTCAATCTAAAGTATGTGTTATATGTATATACCTACTTTCAACTTTATAAAATAAGATATATCTTTATTCTTTCCTCAAGTTTTTTCAACATATTAAATTAGTATGATGAGAAATTCTATGTCAACAGTGGCACAAAGTATCTTAAAAACAATTGGTGGATATAACTCGTTTTTCTGATGCGAGAAGCCTATCATTTTTATTAAGTTTGCAATTTTGTTAAATGCTAAAAGGTATCTCAACAAACAATGCAAATTTTTACTGGTGCTTTTTTAGATCTTATATTTAGTATACATATATAATTATTCTATTATGCTCCCCTCCCCCAGATCAGGGTGGATGATCATATCATCAGGACAGAACAAGGACTTCTGCTCCGTAGTCTACAGAGGAAGGATTCTGGAAATTACCTGTGTCATGCTGTGGAGCACGGATTCATGCAAACTCTCCTTAAAGTGACCCTAGAAGTCATTGACACAGAGCATCTAGAAGAACTTCTTCATAAGGATGATGATGGAGATGGCTCCAAGACCAAAGAAATGTCCAACAGCATGACACCTAGCCAGAAGGTGTGGTACAGAGACTTCATGCAGCTCATCAACCACCCCAACCTGAACACAATGGATGAATTCTGTGAACAAGTTTGGAAAAGGGACCGAAAACAACGTCGGCAAAGGCCAGGACATACTCAAGGGAACAGTAATAAATGGAAGCACTTACAAGAAAATAAGAAAGGTAGAAACAGGAGGACCCACGAATTTGAGAGGGCACCCAGGAGTGTCTGAGCTGCATTACCTCTAAAAACCTCAAGTAGAACCTTGCCTAGACAATAACTGGAAAAAAAAAATGCAATATACATGAACTTTTTTCATGGCATTATGTGGATGTTTACAATGGTGGGAAATTCAACTGAGTTCCACCAATTATAAATTAAGTCCATGAATAACTTTCCTAACAGGCTTTCTTCCTAATACCAACACCTAACAGAGATCACAGGTGAGCACAGATGTTCACTTTGGCAGACTTTATGTTTCCTATGAGATTTCATTGTACAGGTTTCGCTTTCTTCCTTGCCTGAGAAATAAAAACGTCATTTGCCGTATTGCCATCGAAAGGAGAAAAACTGCATCAGCAAAGCCATTTGATTGAACTGAAAGTTTAAAATAAACTGCATGGATTTACTTAGCTGATGAATATTCCAAAATGTGGTTGGATTCAAGGATACTTTTTGTCTACCAGCACTCGTGTTTGTATGTACTGGAGGAGTGAAATAAGTAAAATGATACTGAATGAAATGTTCTGTGGAAATATAAAAAACATAAGCCATCCATCATCCAGAAGAAAAATGGAATACACTGATCTACTACTGATGTCTTCTTTCAGCTTTGATCTAAAGATGTATTTTATTAAAACTATAATTTAAATGTACCATGACAAATATGCAGTAAAAATTAGCTGTTTTCTAAGCTAGAGTAGGTTTTTGTCTTACAATTATTATGCTATATAGTTTGTTTTAAAAATTCCATTTGTGTGCTGCTTGTTTTTTTTTTTAAACATTTTGTTTTCAGTTCTAGCAAGGATAGCTGATGTTACTCTAGAAACATATACAATATTAACTGTTAATGTCCAAAACAGGATGTAAATTATGCCTTATTTCTCAGAGGAAATCAAACAAATAGAAGCTATTGACACCTCCTCCTTTTAAAGTATTATTTAAATTAATTCTAACTTGCATAATGTTTTACAAAAAACAGAGCATTTAACCAGCCAAAACAAAGGGAAAAAAACAACTTGATTTGTTAAATGCATTTTATTATATCTAAAGGATCAACAAAGAGAAAATGAACTGTACAGCTCATGAAAATAAGCTTTTTCTTAATATAGTGTTAATAGAAAATGCTCTTAATTCTGTGCTTGAATCTCAGCATGATATTTTAGACATAAAATTTCTCTCATGATTCCACTAAGAATTGTATAAGCCACTTAATGATTCATGAAAAGAGAGACCAATAGTATCCAGAATAACTTTCTAAAGACAAATTCCCAACTGTTTTGGTCTAAATCAGCTGTCTCTTATCTCACTTTTTTTTAAATACAATTATCTGTATGAAGAACACATCATTCTTCTCAGGTCAATGAGAATGACTTAAACTATTTTCCAGAATACAACCCACACTTAAGAAAATGTGAAACTCTTTGTTTCCTCACAAAATAAGGCAAACGATTTTTAATTAAGGATTTGCCTACTTTGTTGTCCCAAGATGATTCCTTGAGAATCATGGACTTCAATATGCCCAAGACTTTCAGCATTATAATACTGTTCTTTTAGCACCTCACTCCCCTAGGTCCTTGTCACACACAAAAATGTAAAGGAAGAAAATATCTTACTACTAATTAATGAAGTGACATTGAAGTTTTAACTCCAGTTGTCTTGGGATTCTAATTAACAGCACTAATTTCTCACCTCAGACTGCAGTGCATTGTTACTCCCCATCAGCTGAAATATTTCCCAGATGGAAGCTCATGTTTCAGTTTTAATGATTATTTGAATAAATAATTTGTTGACACTTGTTCAAATAAAAGCCTAAAAGTATTCTACATCCAATTTTAGGCTCCATTGACTAATATGGTGTTGCTTTTGGATGTGCATCCTCAAATGGAAACTGGATTGTTAAACCGTTTGAAGAATACACTCCTGTACAGAAAAAAAGTGTTTGAAATATAAGTCAAGGAACAAAGAGTGCTCCAAAATAGGTCATATTTTGGTAGAGTATCTTAAAGGTACTAAAATTCAGTTGTAGCATTTTGTTCTAAATTTGCAGCTGAAACAAATTTATTCACAATAACAGAAGTATCTTATTTCTTCTTAGTGTTTAAAAATAAAGGATTTGAAGGGATGGATATTGTATGGTAACTTATGGATGCCTTCCAAAACCTGAATGCATTCTGGTTAGCATTATGAAATATCAATAGAAAAAAGTCTAGATTTCAATTAGAAGCATCAAAATAAAAAAATTTACTGGCATGACTTTATAAACCATCAGATCTAAATTTTTGAATAAAATTTTATGTATAACTTGCAGATAATTAACTCATTACAGTCATCATTTTCTGCTGATGTGTATTGAGAAGGGGCAGTTTGCACGAAGTAGAATTAATGTCCCATTTAATAATTCAGCTTTAATAGACTTTGGCATATGCATGTATCATCAGAGATGAAACTTGGTTAAGAGACTCATGTGACCTTAGGGAAATTATAACAGCAATCTTACAGTATAAAAAAAGATGCATCACAGCAGAAAAATTAAGGCCCCATTGAAATAAAATGTAAAATGTAAATGCATGTAGATGCACACTTATTGCTTCTTTTTATGTATTATTTAGTGATTTTTAATGGTATGTGTTTAATATTTTTGCTACCTACACATTAGGCAAAAGAGATGTAAATAATTTCAAAGAGGAAGAACAGTGTAAAATACAACTTTCTATAGGTACTCCATTTCAATGTGTCGAACATCACCTTAAAATGCAAGATTTTCCCACACAGGTGACAAGGTGGTTTATGAACTTATATTTAAGGGCAGAACGTTTGTGCCCATTCAACAAGCATGCTTTTTGCCAGGTAGTAAATATGTTCCATATCTGTATTTATCATTGCATTTCAGATGGGAACTAGAAAACTGGAGAGAAAAAATGTAATGAAACTGCTGCTGTAAATTATTCTTTTTAGCATGTATTCAGTTGCTAAATACACATTTCTTCAAAATATTTGAATTCAGATGTCTTTACTGTTCCCTGTAACATATGGTGTTAAGGAACATAAGCTTAGGAAATTCTGAAAACCAGAGTCAGGTTGCTACATAATTAGCTAACAGATTTCTTCATTGTAGTCATATGTAAACTAGATTCTATATTTATGATGATGATGTGAACTTTTATGACCTTTAAATTAAATATTGTTCTTTTTGATGTCATACTTAAAAAAAAATATGGGGATGAAATTCTACAATGTGTCATTACCATCATCAGTTTGGTTTCATTCCAGATCTATAAAGATGGCAGGTGATTGTTATTGATATTGCCTATTCTGAAATTCATAGGCAAGCATTTTATTAATATGGAAGGAATCAGTATAACATTTGGATATCTTTGGCTTACAAATTCATTTTTTAAGCACAATTTCCATTTAGTCCACATCTATCCAGTTTCATGACTTCAAAGACACACTCACTAATAAGTAGGATTCAACATCACCTTTTTGTATAATAACATGTTAGATATAAACTAGCCCAATGCCAAAGACACTGTGTTTTCATTTTAATTTATCTTAATAATTATTTAGAATCAATGTCAATGTTTAGAAAACACATATTTCCATAAAGAGGAAAGCATTATATTTCAAAGCAATTGCAAAATCCTATTAGTTTGATTTCTAACAATTTCTTTATACTAGTTAATTATAGAAATATATATATTTTTAAGTTAGAAGGTTAAGAGGACCCCAAAATGAAATAGAGAAGAAAGATGCAAAAATGGGATTCATGTAGTAAGACTATTTCATAATCAACCTAACCAAAGAAAACACCATTTCAAACATACAGGCAAATCACAGTCAGAGGGAAAGGTACCAAATCAAATCAAATGGTACAATAACAACATAAAGATGAATTTGAATATGAAGAAAATGGACTTCTAGACATCTTGTACTTTGGAACCAGATTTCTACCTGCTCAGGTGTCACTGAGAGCTTGACTACCAATTCTGTGCTGGTGGCCTATTAGGTAATGCAGGTACTGCATGAAATAGGAACCCTATCCTCCAAGAGCTCACTGTGAGATGAATTACCACCATTGTTTCTGGCAAGCTTATTCTGATCTTCCTGTCCATAGAACACATTAACTCCCTTCTCTGTGCTAAATCTGTGCCTGGTATGTTTCTTTTATTAACTCACTTGTCACATGAGTGTGATTTTTTTTTTTTTACATTCTTGAATCCCTTTTCAGACTGTGAGATCCCTGAGAATAGGGAACAGGGTTTGTATCCAGTTCTGTTCTTCCCCAGAGCCTAGCATGATGGCAAATACAGGAAGGAGTTCAGTGCATCACTGGTGGAAAGAACTATGTTACATACAAGGTGGTAGGGTTCCCACTTGAAGTTCATGATAAATATGCTGTGAGTTCAAAGAGGAGGGAGGCATTAGTATGAGAAGGGAGATCACGGAGCACTTCAGACAAAAGGTGATATCTAAACTTTGATATAAGTCAGATTTGCCTAGATAGAGAAAGAGAGAAGGGAAGTCTGGGTAGAGAAAATAGGAGTATGAAAGAGAGGTGTAAAAAGTGCTTTTTTTAAAAAAAAAAAATCTGGGAATTAGTATTCTAAATAAATAGAGCACATGGTTCAAAAAGAAAAGTAAAACAGCCCACTACTTTGAGTCAAAATGATGTACTCATTTATTTTTTTCATGGATTGTGGTTTATCACTTCTTACTTATAGTCCATATACTCATCCCAGGCAGGTGATGTTATATGTCATACATTGTACCTCCTACCCCACCCACACTCTCCTTATTGTTCCTATTAATATTGACCTCACTTATCTTTACTCAGCTGTAGGCAAAATACTGGGCAGTGCTCCTATAGTCATCTTCCATCTAGTCTTTGTGCCACAGTTTTTTCTCTAGTTCAACCCACCACACTTGGCTCGAGTTGGAATAACACAAATGAATGGCATGGAGATGCTGTCTTATCTGTTGACCCCTCTGTGCTTCAACACAATTCAAACAGAAAAAACTTATGTTACATTTCACCTACCTCACTCACCTAGTGTTAGAGTACTCGACCTGGGGTTCCAACATCTCCTTATCAATTAGCAATGAGACTTCCACAAAATAGTATTAAAATATGAAGCCTGTATTTATTCAAAGAATACTATAGATGGAGTAACTTGTGGCTAAACAATGCTACAGGTTAGATTAGCACACACAGTTGCCTGGCAAAGTTTCCTATTCTTTTTTTAATGAAAACAAAAGAGATGAGGCCTAGCTTTGTCTTGAATCTGTCACCATTACATTAAACTGTCAAGTATTTTCTCATATAACAAAGGAATGTATTTTATTTCTCTTAATCTAAACAATATACTTGTAGATACAATGTTTATTTATATAGTACCTAAGAAAAGTTCTCATAAATGTGTTCAAGTCATCACAACTGGGGTAATTTTGAAGTCTCAACTTCCATCTTTTCTCTGTATATCTCACTGGAGCATTAGACCTCAAGTAAATACATTTTTTAAATCCATACCATTTGTGTAGCCCAGTTCTTAATGCTTTGTTTATTTTGTTGATAGCTAAATCCAGAGAGGTTTAAGCTCTTTAGGCAAAGTTTGTGTCTAAAAATCAAACACTTTTTTTTCCACTTTAGGTTGCATTTTTTTTTAACACACTTCAATTTTCTGGGGGTTTGCTTCCTTGAATTTCAAATAAGAATAACAGTTTTACTAGGTCTCAAATACTTTCATTTTATTCATGCAGCGTTTTGAATTGCTGCTAAATATGTACCAATGAGTTGAAGTCTAAGTATCTGTGCCTTTCAATAAATTCCACTAACTTATCAGGGTGCATCTATAAATCACATTGGCATTGCTACCCTATTCCAGTTTAGAAACATTGCTCATTTTCTTCTTTGCATTATTGTTGACCCAGTTGCATGTCAGTTGAAACTACTTATAACTTGTTTGGTTTGGAAAGTGGGCTAAATTATTATCTAATGACTATTATATAGCATCAGAAAAACATCCTGTATTTTTATGGAGAAATATACTGTCAGTGAGTATATTGAATTCTTACAAATTCAGCCAGTTGCTGAGGCAGGCTTTCAACTTGTAATCCTCCTGCTTCAGCCTCTCAAGTCACTGAGATTATAGGCTTGCCCAATTATGTCTGGCTACATTTAGCAAGTTTTAAAAACTGAAATTACAATTTGTTATTTGATCTCACTTGATCCAATTGGAACAGAATATTCCATCACCGTATTGTATCACAGAGTTTTAATAAACTACCACTACAATAAAAATATTTTAGTTTAGTTCACCCAAACACAAAGCACATTCAAGGAAATAATTTATTGATGTGGGCACTTTGCAACAATATAGAAAATGAAAGAACCAATGAAAAGTGGGTTCTTTCATTATAAAATGCTTTAATTGGTATCTGTAATTTATTTGCTCTAAAAAAAGAAAAATAATGGTTTCTTTCTGTATCTTTCTTAAACTGTTTAAGTGTAACAAAAAAGAATGTTTAAATTTATATAAAATATACAAAAGAATAGAACCTTTTAAAATAGAAACCTTTTTTAAAAAAAGGCTGTAATCTAAATGCATATTTGGCATCTGTTTTTGTAAATAATTTTGTTAAAAATGTATCTATTTAAAAATAATTTGAAATACTACTCTTGTGAGAAATATAACCTTTCATAAAAGCTTAACATATCAAAGACAAAATTTCATTAACAAACTTTAAAAATTGTTAGCATTCAATAATAAGCATGCGGCTGTAGCAACTATTAAAATGCTTGTCATTGATGCTGCTTCCTAGCATATTACAAATATCAATATCTATAAACATACATTCCAGAAGGAAATCCTATGTATGTTCTCATTCTTCAGAACCAGTATGTTCGTTCAATCCCAATACATGTAACTTATGAAATAATTTTTTTACTTAGTGCATGACTAAATTTATAAATTGCTAATTAATGGGTTATAACAGAAAGTTTTAGAAATTCTAAAATACACTGAGAACATTTTGTTGAAATTCCAAGTTCTCCAGTCTGCCACTGTAGTGTGAAGTTCCTCAGTCCAACCTTCTATCAAAGTGGGTCCTTGGTCAACAGACTTGCCCAGTAAAAGTGAAATCAGGAGGGATAACTTCCCTTGGAGTTAAACACCAAGTTTTGATCAACTCTCAGTCAAAAATGACAACTTAGAAAGCACATTATTCTTATGATTTATTAGGACATATGGAATATTTCTTAAGATAATCTTGAAATCCTAAAATTTAGTTATTAAACATAGATTAGGATTTTCAATTTCATATGGATGTCTCTTTCATGTTCTAATGCACTATTGTGTCATTTTGCAGTACTCGATAGCATTTAATTTAATTAGTATTTAATTACAGTATCTCTCTTTTTTTTTGGGGGGGGGGTGCGGGTACCAGGAATCAATCGAACTCCAGGGCACTCAACCACTGAGCCACATCCCAGCTCTATTTTGTTTTTTATTTAGAGGCAGGGTCTCACTGGGTCACTTAGCACCTCACTTTTGCTGAGGCTGGCTTTGAACTTGCAATCCTTCTGCCTCAGCTTCCCAAGCCATGGGGATTACAGACATGCGCCATAGTGCCTGGCCCAGTATCTCTTAAAAATTGCTTTAACAACTTTGGATAGGGCAAAGCGGATGGTGTGACTTTACTTCATGCACAGCCAGAGAAGTGAAAAATTCTTCATTTGTGTACAATAATTGGAGAGCTTTCTACTGATCTGATTAGAACTAATAAATAACATTTTTAAAAATCGCTTCAACATAGTAATGCCCTAAAAAATATTTCCACTTTGTTAAAACAGAATATTTCTCTTCAGTGAGAAAAAGCTTCGTTGTCACCCCATACAGTAATTTTGGAAACTCTGAGCTAAAAATCATAACTTTAAAAGGAAAAAAGGAAATAAATTTGTGTTTCTTGAAGATCTTGCCATCTCCAGGAAGCAAACTATCACATAAAATTCAACTGCCACACTAATGACCTATGTAACATCTTGATTCTATGGTCAGTTGTTCTATTTCTACCTGTTATCAGACAGAATGGTAATGATTGAGTTATGAGAGCATTAACTCAATCAGTGAATGAATTCCCTGATGGTATTAACTGAGTGGTAACTGAAGGTGGGTAGGGTGTGACTGGAGGTGGTGGTTCATGGAGGTGTACCTTTGAGGTATATATATTTGGTATCTGGTGAGTGAAGTATCATTCTGCTTCCTAATCTCATGTCAGCCTCTTCACTAGGCCACACTCTTCTGCCATGATCTGCCTCACCTTGAGCCAAGGAATGGAGCCACCTGTGTATGGACTGAGACCTCTGAAACCATCAGACCCCAAATAAACTTTTCCCCCTCTACAATTGTTGTACTTGAGTCTTTTAGTCACTACAGTGAAAAAGCTGACTGAAACAAGTGGAGTGCCTCCCTCACCAACACTGAGGAAAGACCAAGTGCAAATCAGAGCAGTTGAGAGAGGGGGTTTTAGGGGCCAGCAAGTCAGTGGTGATGGCAGCTCTACCCCTTTAGCTGGTAATGTCTTCGGGCATTTATATTTTTAATACTCATTGGCCTAAGTTCTCCCACTTATAAAAATGGATTTTTAGTTCTTCACATGTAAAAAAGTAATGACAAGGAACTAATTCATAAAATTACTTACCAATAATGCTAATCTATATTCACTCCTGATTAAAAAGATGTTCCTCCTTGTTTCCAAAGAAAATGCTCTTGGTAAAACAAGATAATACAAGTGGAAGAAATGATTTATAGTAGAGGGGGTAGAGAGAGAAAAGGAGAGGGGAGGGGAGGGGAAGGGACGGGGGATAGTAGAGAATAGGATAGACAGCAGAATACATCAGTCACTAGAACGGCAATATGTAAATCAATGGAAGGGTAACTGATGTGATACAGCAATCTGTATACAGGGTAAAATTGGGAGTTCATAACCCACTTGAATCAAACTATGAAATATGATATATTAAGAACTATGTAATGTTTTGAACGACCAACAATAAAAAAAAAAGAAGAAAGAAAATGCTCTTGATTACATCTACTACCACACTCCCTAGACAGGTAGCTTGCTCACCCTCTTATACCTGTAATTGCTCTTCCCATTCTAAATTAATAATCATAACAATAGCAATAATTTCCCTTACCCCTGCAATTCAGTTGCTCATTTGTTTACTTTTTGACTTTTAAACTTTTAAAAAGAAATTCTACAAGAATTACAATTAAAATATATATTTGACTTTGAAGCCTTCCTATCAGAATTCCATTAAATCCAGATACCAACTATACTATTTTTTAATTCTCATTTTGGGACTATTTCTGCCATCATCACACTCAGGAATGTACTGTAAAAAGTAAATTACTCAATTGGTGTATTTTTTGAGAGAGAGAGAGAGAGAGAGAGAGAGAATTTTTTAATATTTATTTTTTAGTTTTCAGTGGACACAACATCTTTATTTTATTTTTATGTGGTGCTGAGGATCGAACGCAGCGCCCCGTGCATGCCAGGCGAGCGTCATACCACTTGAGCCACATCCCCAGCCCCAATTGGTGTATTTTTAATACGTAGTTTTTGAAGTTAGTATTTTCAAGCATAAAATGAAGGCATTTTTCAACATTATTTTATAAACTATCTCACAAAAATCAAAATAATTTTTTGTATATAGGCTCAATAAAAACCATATTGTGTTAAATGCACTTTTGTGAAAAAGCGTGGGGCATAGTCTAGGCAATTACAAATGCTGATGAAGAGCTTTCAAAAGTAGAAAAAATGTGAAAAAATATACATATAGAAGAAATTACATATCTTGTAATGGGATATAATTCACAAGAAGAAAATGTAAGAACAGGCATTTATTCATAGTCTCTACAGAACACATGAAAAAGAGCACTATCATAATTCACACCTAGAAAGACAATAATTTATGCAAAATCATTTTCCTTAAAAAGTAAAGATGAAAAGAGACATGACACCTCAAAACCCTGCCAAGCTAAGGATAAACACAAGAAATAAACCATATGTGTTGTGGGAGGCAAATCCACAAAGAAACTGTTAGGCAAAAATCAGACCCAACTATGACATGATCCAGATGTTCACTAATATGAATGTCTCAGCAAAATCTGACAGACTTCAAGGTCTGGTAGGAAAGGATAAAAGCTCCAACAGTGTGAACACTGATCGGCTTCAATTATTTGGTAATTTTTTTTTAAATAATTGCTTTTTGTTTGAAGTATTTTCGTCTTTCAGCTTTAACTATCTTGGAAATTGATAAAAAGCAGCATAAAGAGATGAAACAACAATGCACACTTTGAAGTGCAATCATTCTGGTCGTAGGAACTTTAAGAGACCATTTGGGCTGGTCCCCAGGAAGGACTATTGTGTGTATTAGACAATCTGGGAGGGTGGGAAAGAGAAAAGATAGTACACAAATATTTTATACTGTCAAAGCAATATTCAGTTTAAAACTCAATAGGCAGT